GTGTACGCTAGCATATTCATAGGTACTATTCCTGTATCAGGGAATAAATGGTTGTGACTTATGAGCTCTGCTTCTCATTTTCACTCATCTGATTGAACGCNTTACTTTGTGGTTGGTGTACGCTAGCATATTCATAGGTACTATTCCTGTATCAGGGATTAAATGGTTGTGACTTATGAGCTCTGCTTCTCATTTTCACTCATCTGATTGAACGTGATGCTTGCTCCTCTGAGGAATCCTGGCAAGTCAGGTGTCCAGTGATATTATTCAAATAGCCAAGGGAGTGTCATCTCTTGGTCGACTCTGCCTTCTTTTACTCCAATTGGTACCTCAAATATAGCTCCAACACTGAGAGCCTATGGCAAGGGGATTTTTTTTTTAATGAATAATTGTGCATTAGAAAAGACATGATACGAATTATTTTTATCATAATGGTAGACATCATTTTATTCATTTATGATGTCCCTTCTGAACGAAACTATTAAAAAAATTAATGGTTACTTCCATTTCTAGGAATCACGGATTTGATCTGATGCAATTAGCTGTGGTATTGGTTCCAATTTTTTCTTTAAATTCTGGAGAAGTTTGCATCCTGAAATATTCAATATAGTATTTTATAGCTAATCAATTAATGCATTTGTTGTTCTTTCCCTCGAACCTTTTTTGTGCAGGTGGATGAATTACAAAACACCATAGAGGAGGAGCAGAGAAGCTTGGTTGAGGAGATGAGAGTAGCAATGGATGAGCATAAGCATGGGTTGGAGGATGCTAATGGGATTTCAGAAGCCATGGTTGTTGATTAGCAACTCTCAGCATCCTTGTCTCGAACTTGTACGGTTGTGTATCTTTAGACCATTTTTATGTTTCTACATTTAGCTTTTTTGATGTTTAGCAATGGGTGCTGCAGCATAATCTCTAAATACAATTGCTCTAGTCTGACACTATTTCAGATGCATCAGTGAAATTTTGGAATTTTCACATACTTACAAGGGGAAGGAGGATAATTAAAAGAGGGAGGGGGGATGGTCTATGCTCCTGGCTAGGACTGATAACCGAGCTTGAACACATGGCTTTTCACTATTTCTTTCCAGAAAAGGTTGCTCATTCAGCCCAGCGGACCTATTGTTTATGCGGCAGTGCAATGCAGCTGAAAATGAGCCGAGCTCTGGTTCGATTATCGGCCCTACTCCTAGCTAATGGGTTGAACTTCCTAGTCTGGGCCATTCGACCTCCCTGCAATCTCTCCTGCATTATTTCTTGACGTTGATGGTTTGGATTAGTATAGAAGTGCATTTTTGTTGGTAGCAACAAATGCATTCCCTTCTTAGACGGACTAAAATTGTTGGTTTAGTGTTTTCTGGCAAACCAAAACTTCTTACCCTCTTGCATTCATGATATCTATATGTTGGTCATTGCAACAAACCAGATTTTTGGGGCAACAATTATAGGAAAAATGTTATTTAGAGCTTAATTTGGGAATTTCGTTAATTACCATTGTTGAATTAAAAGTGGGCTCTATCTGATGTTTAGAACTCACAATAATTCAACGGCTACATTTAATTAGTCTCAAAATCAAGTCCCTATAGCATTGTTCAACTGGTAGTCCATGGGCAGCTAGGCCTTCGCAATGGGCCGGGGCTGCTCATAATTTTTTAGTCCATAACCTGCCTGTGGATCGGGCCTTTGGGTTTGGACTGGTCAACAGGCTGGGTTAGGCTTTCCTGTGTGGAAAAAATTTAAGGCCAATAGCCAGGCCACGGCTAGCCTATTGGGCCAAAATGTGGGCTAATTATGGATCAGGCTTTATGGCCCAGTTTTTGGGCCTGAAACGGGCTTTTTTTATGTAAAAATTACAAAATGACAAAAATTAATAAAGTATAAAATGAAAAAATAAATTAACGAAAAAAAATTCATATTAATTGAGTGTGGGTACTCTCAACAACATCTATCCAATGTTTGAACTCTAACTTCTCCGAATTAGAAAGTTATGAAAATCAATTTAGATACAAAAAATAAAAAATGAGCTTCAAGTGATTAAATTGTGGTGAAGAGATATTGAAATAATGAGGGAGGGTTGAGGAAAAGTTGTTTAATTTTTGTTAGGGGTGTTATAACTGTAATGTTAATAATTGGTTGCGCTAATGGGCTGACTAACAGGCCAGCCTGTTGGGCCCCGGCCCAAAAATCCAGCACAAGCCCTACCTGCCGGGCTAACAGGCTATCCACAGCTGTCACGTGTACAGGCCAGGTGGCCTGTAGGCCATTCGGCTGCCAGACTTTGAACAGCCCATTGGTCTTTGGGTTTGGGCTTTTTGCTGAGGCCTATGGTCAGCTCGGGCAGGATAATTTTCTTGTAAAAATTGGGATTGAGTCTTCTTAGATGAACTTATAATGATTTGAATCTGTTATGAAAACTTATTTGGTGATAAGTCCATTTTTTATTTTACTAATAAATATTTAAGTCTACAATTTTTTTAAATCTCAAAAATACCCTTAACAGTGTTATTGTGTTCAATTATAGAAACCTTAAAGACCTTAAAAATAGCTTTTAATTAATTTTTTAAATTAAAAATTATTATCCCTTAAATTGCTCCTAAATTAAAATTCAAATTTATATTCTCTCTCTCTCTAAAAAAATCCTCTCATTCAATAACAAATACAAATCTTTACAATAACAATTACAAATCATAATGTAAAATTTATTTTTTTTTCTTCAGAGTAACATCAATTTTTTTATGTATAGTAACACAACGACTTCAACAAAACTCAAAAGGATATATGTTGCACTATAAAATTAACGAAATATATTTTTACACAATAATATCAATGAAATATTTTTTCCTTCACAGTAACAATAATTTTTCCTTACTTTTCACAAAATACAGTTCACAAATAAAAAAATTACATTATTTAAAGTAGTAAGACATAATCGCCAGTTAAATTAGGACACTCATCATCACTTGTGAATGTCAAGACATCGAATATGTAAAAATGACTTTCCTCTTCCCTCATAGTAACATCAACATTTTTCCACAAGTAACAAAATCAAGCATTTTCCAATTGTATTGCACAACAAAAGATCCACAAAAATTGAAACTTATATCATTTAATTTAGTAATAATGAAAAGCATTTTGAAACTAAGAATATAAAAAATAATGAAAATTTTGAAAACTTGGAGGCTTCTTCCTCTAATTATGGGCTTGAATGCTATTATTTTTATTTTCAATTTTGTTTCAATGTTTCATATTGCTATTTTTTTTTTGATGAGCATATTACTATTTTTGTTAAACATGTTACTATTATTATTTTTTTAAATATTAATATTAAATGAACATGTTACTATTATTATTTTTTTAAAATATTAAATATTGAATAAACATGTTACTATTGTTATTTTTTAAAAATATTAATATTAAATGTTACTATTTTTTTATGGTTAAATGTTACTATTTTTTTTTGTGTTTGAATGATATTATTTCTTGTGTTAAATGATAAATTTTTTTTTTGTGTTTAAATGTTATTATTTTTTATTTTTAATTATATATATATATATATATATATATATATATATATAAGAGTTTTTAATTTTTACTTTTACTTCACTTCTAAAGAGAATAGATAGTCTGATAAAATTGACAAAAAATAGATTTCATAACAAATAAATTTCTTTCGCAAACTTGAGTCCAAACGAGTACATGTAAAAGGGCCGACCTCCAAATTTCCCAATTTTCTTTGATTGACCCTCAAAACAGTTACTTCCAAGAGTGGCTAATGGAATTGTTACACTTCCAAGATAGAAGCATAAAATACAGGCGAGATTCCTTTCAACGAATTTGGGCCCCTCTCTCCCTCTCTCTATGTGCAAAACTCTGGCATTGGCAAAATATCGCATTAGCTCCAACAGTGCAAGTGCTTGAACTGAAAGAATACTGGGCACAGGCACCGCAAAAGGGTACCACGCACTTTAAAAAATGCGAACTTGATCATTCAAACAAATTGCAGAAGCGAAAGTCCTTAGACAGCATAATCTTTCCGTTTTGTNTAATTTAGTAATAATGAAAAGCATTTTGAAACTAAGAATATAAAAAATAATGAAAATTTTGAAAACTTGGAGGCTTCTTCCTCTAATTATGGGCTTGAATGCTATTATTTTTATTTTCAATTTTGTTTCAATGTTTCATATTGCTATTTTTTTTTTGATGAGCATATTACTATTTTTGTTAAACATGTTACTATTATTATTTTTTTAAATATTAATATTAAATGAACATGTTACTATTATTATTTTTTTAAAATATTAAATATTGAATAAACATGTTACTATTGTTATTTTTTAAAAATATTAATATTAAATGTTACTATTTTTTTATGGTTAAATGTTACTATTTTTTTTTGTGTTTGAATGATATTATTTCTTGTGTTAAATGATAAATTTTTTTTTTGTGTTTAAATGTTATTATTTTTTATTTTTAATTATATATATATATATATATATATATATATATATATAAGAGTTTTTAATTTTTACTTTTACTTCACTTCTAAAGAGAATAGATAGTCTGATAAAATTGACAAAAAATAGATTTCATAACAAATAAATTTCTTTCGCAAACTTGAGTCCAAACGAGTACATGTAAAAGGGCCGACCTCCAAATTTCCCAATTTTCTTTGATTGACCCTCAAAACAGTTACTTCCAAGAGTGGCTAATGGAATTGTTACACTTCCAAGATAGAAGCATAAAATACAGGCGAGATTCCTTTCAACGAATTTGGGCCCCTCTCTCCCTCTCTCTATGTGCAAAACTCTGGCATTGGCAAAATATCGCATTAGCTCCAACAGTGCAAGTGCTTGAACTGAAAGAATACTGGGCACAGGCACCGCAAAAGGGTACCACGCACTTTAAAAAATGCGAACTTGATCATTCAAACAAATTGCAGAAGCGAAAGTCCTTAGACAGCATAATCTTTCCGTTTTGTCAAGCCAAGAAATCAAATCTGTTTACTTCGAAAGCCAATAGATAATAAGAAACAATGTACACGCCGCGATGACTGCAGATAGGATAAGTGTATCTCTCGAGCGCTTCCTTCGGATCGAACCTGTGAGTTGATTAAACAGTGTTACTGGGAAGCAAGTTTATTTTTTTCCTTAGACTGACCGACTGGGAAGTGAGTTAAAAGAACGAAATGCAGTAGCAGAAATGGCTTCAGAATAATACCAATTAGACCACGAATAATAGGAAATTTGTCACTTAATAGCTTCACTTTTCCTTGAACATCACCAAACAAGGACCTTTGGGAGCCCAAGGCTGCTCTTGTTGTTTGAGCTTGACTAATCACATCATCTATCTGCATATATTGTTAGCATTATGTCAGTGATCATGCAATTTAGAAACATGGTTATCGGGTCAGTTGCCACCCCGCAGCAACTGTACAAGCATCATTAGTTGACTGCTTTTTTAACTAAGCCATAATGAATGATAAAAAAAATGATTAAAAGACATTGGGGTATATATTTTGCAAAAGAATATGGAACAGAGATATGCTATCAAAAAGCAAGTTCAGTTTTACATGAGCTATGCTTCCATGTATGGCAGCTCTCTCCCGAAGTAACTGCATTCTTGGAGACATACTTCCGGAGGCCTGCATAAATGCATAGAATAGCATTAAAAAATAAGAAAGATTCAAATGAATATATATATAGATATATATACACTGACATGAGTCTTACTCACCTTATACTCACTGATATCATCTCTTACAGAAGTGAGAAGCTCTGCATGTTCCCTCATTGAGTTTATGTTCCCCTTGGTTCGTCTAAATTCCTGGAGGAATGAATCAGGTTAGCTCAAAAAAGATGATGCACAGAGCCTACAAGCACAGTGGGAATCCTAGAAATCATGCCCTTCGTGTCAAACTATTCAATCACAATGTTGAAAGAACTAGAACAAGTCACCCACTGTGGTAATACAGAGTATATGACTGGATGACTGCATGAGAGAGAGAGAGAGAGAGAGAGAGAGATGCACTTTTTGATTCAAAGTACTATTAAATGTACGCTCACTAAACATCAAGTGTTCCTTGAAGGTTCATCCTGCAAATTCTATCCCTGAGATATACTTTCACTGAAACAAGTTGCTCTAAACACTACGTTACTCCCCTATTCTGAAAAATCTAGTAAGCGATATATGTTCAGAAAACATGACAAGTTCTATAAACAAATGGTTGGAAACTCTGTACAGCTCTAAACTGCTCAAGAAAAAGGAAATTGGAAAGGAATAATTTTAGTAAACAGCTAAGATGTTTGATCTAAGTGTGCACTGTTATGTGATTTATATTAATTCAGTGTATAAATTATAGAAGAAAAGAAATCATGGATCTGTGAATATCCTTTTTCTTCATTTCCTACTCCCTTATTAGGAGGGTCAAATGTTGCGGGGGAGTGGAGGAGGGGAGGCAACGTGAACTGAGTGAATATTGAGTAATGTTTTACAAGCGAAATAAAAAAAAAAAACATAAAAGGGAAAAAACCTGGGTAAACTCATGAAGTATGTCCCTATGCCTTGCCAGCTTTTGGGTAACTGAAGTAGTAGGTGCAGCAGATGCAGCACATCGACTCATGGCATCATTTATGTCTAGTAGCTTCTCAAGCAATGATTGAATCTCCATTTCCACAGACTTCCATGACCTACTAGACGCCACAGTTGGTGAACGAGTATCCCCATAACCTGAACCCAGCCATTTAATTATCAGAAAGTATTCACCCAAAGCCAAATTACTCAACATGGGAACAGTGAAACAACAATTATGATCAATAACTTGCAACATTTTCTTACTAACTGATTACTGTGGTTGTAATAGCTCAGCAGTATCTAAAAAGCATATACCACAAATTAACTATCAAAGGATGAATCTAATCGTCTTTGCTCTTCAATCATGTGTTTCTTTTTCTTTTCTATTCCTTCCTTTATACTTGGGAAGTAGAGTAGGCGGAGGAGTGGCACATTTACAAAATGTTACTGTTGCAGCCTACAAAACACTGGATATCCATGCCTGCATGGGGGACAAAAGTTAAAACATGAATGAAATACAAAAATGCCTACAGTGTACTGTAGTCAAGACTCGAGCTCTAGTGCAAATGGTTGAGAGAACAGAGTGTGGCATGCCGTATGTGCAAGTTTTGCAGGATGTTTCAAAACTCAAGCAGGTTGAGGAAGGATTGGGGTGCTGGTCCAGTGCATTAAAAATTGAAAATGGTTGTGAATTGAAGCAACAAAGAAGGGAATGAGGGTTTAGAGACATCATTAACTGCATAAATGTAGTTTAAAGTAAAACACCAGAAAGTAGTCTTTTCTGTAAAGCACCTAGGAGAATAGAACAGAGAGAAAATGAAAGGAAAATATGAAAAGAGAGAAGAGGAAAAAGAAACATGGAAATACAGTCTCCAGACAAGAGATTAGAGTTGTTATTCATGTTTATATTCACTAATTCCAAAGGAGATTATTGCAAACCCTTCCAAAGGCATTAACCTCAAACTAACAGGTAACATTAAAAACTAGCCCTCAAATCAAGTCAATGTCAACTTCTAATTAGACCCTAACACACACAAGCATAAAAAGACAAAAGCAACTAAACTCTTTCACCACTATATTATAACTATATAAATAATTTTATTTTTCTGATAGAATATTATTAATTAAGAAGAGAAAATAGTATATGAGAGGACAAGGAGTCCTCAAACAAATAGATCAACAACAAAAAGAAGAAACCTAAATAAGATCAAAAACTTAAAACAATAAAAAGATGAAAAAATGACATAATATTGTATTGCTACCGTAATAAGCTGCCACAAAAGTGTAATAGTACCTGATGCAGTAACACGACACAGTATTGCTACCATAACTTGAATATATCTCCTTCTCAATAAAAAAGGGAAAACAATTTAATGCATGACTGTTGTTATGACAATAAAATAACCTGACTCCACCGCAAAATTTCTTTTTCACATCAAAACAGCTCCCTCAGTAGAATGGATCAAAAGCTCAAAATTTTGGCTGTAGTGCATCTTCTCTAACCAAGCACTTGGTCATATAACCTAATAACCATAAATCCATAATGTCCTGTGCAAGTGCGAAAATTATGGGTTCGCTCTGATTGATCTTCAATTCATTATACAGGGTTTGCCTATAGCTTTCTTCAACAAAACTCTATTAACTTACAATCTCAATTAGCAGGGACCCATTATATAGCTGATTTTGATTAATGAAAGCAAAAAACAAATGAATCCTCAAATCATCCTGATAATCACAAGTCATAAAGGAATGGCAATTTCAACAATAAGATCCGTAATTTTGATTAATACCAAGATCAAATGATTACACACACACACACACACACACACAGACTGAGTGAGAACCAAACCACCTTGGGTGAACCTAGTGCCGAGCTTGGCATAGGAAGAGAGCTTGACGTCGAGATCGCCTTCGACTTTGCGAGCCTCTTTCCTCAATTCCTCCCAACCCGATTCCTGCAACACCTCCATATTCAGATCCATCATCATACCATACCATCATCCGAATTCCCAATCCCCGCCATCGCAGATCTGATTGACCCCGACCTTTTTTTCAGTTGCCCCTCCTCCTTCTTCTCCTAAGTTCGTCTTTCTTTTCCGATCAGCAATGCTCGTCTCCGTTCGCTATGATCTGAGAGTTGTTACTTCTGCTATAACGGTTGGAAATACTCGCACTGGATCGCACTTGCTACGATTCTTAATCACTGGTCTGAATCTGATTCAAACAACTTCTTTTCCCATCACTGAACACTCCACCGAATTGAACACAACCTTGCATAGAAAACATGGTAGATGGAAGATGGGCCTTCCATGGAAGGAGTAGGGAGGAGAGGGATGGGTACCTTAGCGAAACAGTACTTGGGTTGAAGGAATAGGTCTGTTGAAATTATCCCTAGACATAGTTTTGGGTCTACGTCGTTTGGGTTGGGTAGACATAGGCTCAGTTCTAGCCCAAACAATAATTAGGTGACTAATATTAATTAGACAGTGTGTGGTTTGGCGAAGGTTGTGTATGGGCTGGTTCGGTGATAAATTTTTTGGGTTGGGCCAGCCCTAGGTCAGGTTCCATCTCACGAAAGTGACGGGCCTGAACGGGCCTTCGTGAGTTGTAAGGGTATTTAAGTGCTTTTACATAGTTGGAAAGTTTAACATAAAAGTTTGTCCTTAATGTTGATTTTCTGTACACAATGCCATGAATTTTGAATTACAGAAAAAATAAAGTAAGAGAAGAAGTTAGAAATGTCAAGCACTTATTTAAATATAGGCAGCATATTCAAGATAATGATGAAACACAGATGTAAAGTCTGACTTGGTCTACCAAAGGAGCCATAAGGAGAAAACCAAGGCCATATACATATATATATATATGAGATTAAATTCAGTTAAGATTGATTCAATTTTTATTTATTTTGATTCAATTGTATAAAATTTATCTTAATTTTTTTTATGTTAAAAAAATATCGTCTTCTCTGCACGGCCTCTAACATTAGATAATTCAATCGACACACTCTCAAATACCAAACAACGTTACTAATCAACACCTACGTCTCTATTCTCTCTCTCTCTCTCTCTCTTATTTTCTCTCTATGNATAAAATTTATCTTAATTTTTTTTATGTTAAAAAAATATCGTCTTCTCTGCACGGCCCCTAACGTTAGATAATTCAATCGACACACTCTCAAATACCAAACAACGTTACTAATCAACACCTACGTCTCTATTTTCTCTCTCTCTCTCTCTCTCTATTTATTTTAATTTTAAATTTTCTATTAAAAGAAATTTTTTTGATATTTAACATATAAATATTACATGATTAAAGTTCGTTTTTTTATATTGCAAAGTGTATTCAAACATTAGAATTATTATTACTAATACATATCTATATTATGAAGTAGCTTACAATTCAAATATCAAAAGATAAACAAAATGACTTTTGTTATTTGCTGTTGAAATCACTTTAAATTTTACTTTAAAGTTAATCTAACGGTTAATATTAACACCTTAAATTTAATAGGGAAAATGAACTCCTAAAAGTGTGTTTGGAGTGACTTTCTAAAAGTACTTTTAAAAATTATTTCTCATAAATATTTTTTTAAAAAATAGTGTTTGAAATCGCTCCACCACTACCGCCACCTCCACCACTGCCACTCCCACCACCATCATCGTCATCGCCGCCACCACCACCCCCACCCCTGCCACGCCCACGCCCACCATTGCTGCCACCGCCACACCCACCACCACCACTACCACCCCCACCACCACTATCACCACAGTCATTGTCACCCACCATAACTATCATCGTCTCCTACCACCACCACTCCTGCCTGTCACTTTTTACCCTCACTATAAATCGATGCTTAAATTCTTTTATCTCTTCTCTATGTTTGTAATTTGAGTTTGGATATGAATACAAATATGTTTATTGTTTACTATTTTTTATTATTATGTGTTTTTAAGAACAGACAATAACTAGTAGATATATATATCATCTTGAGGTAAGGTTTTTTGGGAAGGTAAAAAAAAATACCTCAAGATGATATATATATCACTAATAATAATTACGCGTGTAATACACTCTTCAATACAAAAAATTGAGATGTTACTTGTATATATATCATCTTGAAGTAAGTTAAAAAGTTAAAAATGAAATTAAAAAAAAAACCTGTCAAAAAAATTTGAATAATAGGATTACAGATTTATAATGACTAATATTTCGAGGTCCCAAATTAGTCTCCCAATAAATTTTTCGACTAATCTACTTGCATGCATGATATTGTGAGTGATTACATGCATGTCAAATTAACATAAATATTATTGATAGTGTGTTTAGCACAGTTGATTACAGGCGAACTCTTTGGGGATCAATGGAGTGTCTAGTTCATTAGTTCAAAAGTTTGGTTAATCCTCTCTAATGGAGTATTTTGTTCTTTGAGAGTTGTCTATTAATTGGGGGAAGGGGATTACATACAGTAGATATACAGACGATTGCTCCATTTAAATTCGAAGGACTTGATCTCTATTTATAGTGTACAGTTGTCTTGCGTGATTATCTGGCATGATCTCTACGATCCTTCCCCAACCAATGCCATCATAGCGTCATCAACGTGATTCCATGAAGTGGTTGTAACTCATGTGTTAGAATACTTAGTTGTTACTAATTATATTTCTTAAGCATGACGCAACTTTTTGGAGGGTGTCAACTGTCGTTGTCATCACATGCACAAGAGTTTCGTTGCTGAAAATTCCGACTTACACATCTCGAACTAGTGATCATGAGTTGTTTTGGTATTATCAATTATGATTCTCAAAAGACGCATGGTTGGGCTACTACTTTTCGATCATTTGAAAAAAAAAAACCGAGAAGAAGACTAGAAATGATGTATTATGTATACAAGTCAAATGCATCTGGAACATTATTATTCATCAGAAAACTGGAGTAAAGAATAGTATATATGTGACTACGAGGAAGTATTCGAAACACACATTATAAATCAGGGCACTTCTCTAATTTTTTTTGTTCAACAGTTAGGAGTTATTCAGGTTAGTTTTAATCTACACTAAGATTAAAATATTCATGAAAAATAAATTTTTCACATAATTTGATCCAAAAAATTGTTTAAATAATAACAAAAGCGAACCGTAAATCCAGATGCGACTTCTTTAACTTTGTTCCAAAACAAAACTCAACTACTCTTTTTGTCTACCAGGAGTATTATATATTCTTGTCGAGGGTTGTTAAACCCATGCAACTATTAACAAAGAAGAGTCACCCAATTGCAAAGAAGTCCGTACAAATGTTAGAAAATGATGACAAGCGCAAACAAGTGGTAACGACTTACTTATTGGATTAAAACAGTCAAAGAAATGTTTTTCAAGAGTCCCATCGTCGGTCAGGAAGTTGGAAAAAATGGCAATCTAGAAACAAACAATTAGACAAAGGACACCCATTACGTTGTTGATAACAGGACGAAGTTAGAAAATTGATATTCAATGAAGACTTTAGTTTAGTGGTTGAGTCAGTATTCTTGCGAACGAAAGATTTTGAATTTAATATNCCCACCACCATCATCGTCATCGCCGCCACCACCACCCCCACCCCTGCCACGCCCACGCCCACCATTGCTGCCACCGCCACACCCACCACCACCACTACCACCCCCACCACCACTATCACCACAGTCATTGTCACCCACCATAACTATCATCGTCTCCTACCACCACCACTCCTGCCTGTCACTTTTTACCCTCACTATAAATCGATGCTTAAATTCTTTTATCTCTTCTCTATGTTTGTAATTTGAGTTTGGATATGAATACAAATATGTTTATTGTTTACTATTTTTTATTATTATGTGTTTTTAAGAACAGACAATAACTAGTAGNGCACTTCTCTAATTTTTTTTGTTCAACAGTTAGGAGTTATTCAGGTTAGTTTTAATCCACACTAAGATTAAAATATTCATAAAAAATAAATTTTTTACATAATTTGATCCAAAAAATTGTTTAAATAATAACAAAAGCGAACCGTAAATCCAGATGCGACTTCTTTAACTTTGTTCCAAAACAAAACTCAACTACTCTTTTTGTCTACCAGGAGTATTATATATTCTTGTCGAGGGTTGTTAAACCCATGCAACTATTAACAAAGAAGAGTCACCCAATTGCAAAGAAGTCCGTACAAATGTTAGAAAATGATGACAAGCGCAAACAAGTGGTAACGACTTACTTATTGGATTAAAACAGTCAAAGAAATGTTTTTCAAGAGTCCCATCGTCGGTCAGGAAGTTGGAAAAAATGGCAATCTAGAAACAAACAATTAGACAAAGGACACCCATTACGTTGTTGATAACAGGACGAAGTTAGAAAATTGATATTCAATGAAGACTTTAGTTTAGTGGTTGAGTCAGTATTCTTGCGAACGAAAGATTTTGAATTTAATATTTCTTATATTCTCTAAGGACTAGTCACTTTTATTATTTAGAGAATATGACCTTAAATTAGTTTAAATTACGGAGACCAATTTAAAATTCGAGGGAATAGTTAGTGCAAATCTAGACACCCAATAACAAAAAAAAAAAATCAATATTCATAATGTATAAAAGCAAAAAACAACAAAAAAAGATAAAAAAAAAAAAAATCATATTTATAGCTATTCATAATTGACCCAAACTATTTTATATTTTAAAATCATTGCATGATATCAATATGAAAATGCATTTCTCTCTACATACACAAATTACTTTATAATGACATTATTTTTTACATGGTACCAAAATAATCTCATTTGTTTTTTGAATTTACAAAATGGGCTCAAATATGTCTAAAAATTTATCCGAATGTGTCGAAAACATGTACAAAAATTGAAATATGATTGTACTATTTAATACAAATAGAGTGGGCATTCCTTAAAATCATTAAGAAATTATTTAGATATATGTAAATAATATTGAGGATAAAAAAAAATTGAGAGTGAACATGTGCCCACACTAGTCATTGAATAGTGATTGGAAAATATTTTTTTAATATCATACTTTTATTTTTTGACTAATTAAAAATGTATCATGTGTATGATTTTTTTTATTTTATAATTAATAATTATAGATCATTTAATTTAAAATTGATGATTGAGATTAATAGAAGCAAGGTACCGACCTGTTTAGTGTTTTTTTTTAAACTTTTATAAAATAAAGAGTACCATTTAATCTAAATATATTTAAACATCTTAAAAAACTTTTAATCATTTTGAAACATCGATGAAAACAAGATGAAATATATTGAAATATTCTGAAATACATCAAAATATATTGAATCATTGAAATTGTAATTCGACCACTGATTTGTTTCAGTTTTCTTAAAAATGGTGACGTTT